CTGACCGCAACCAACGTTTTGAAACAGTAGATTAAGGAGTTGATTATTACAAACGGTATGTAGCGGGAATGGGTAATAGAGTTTTCAAATTATGTAATTCTCCACTACGATAAAAAGAACTATGTGATTCCAAAATCCAATGACATTCTGCCGTGAATAAATAACTGCATGAAACTGCTTTCATTATTTATGGTACCAACTACAAAGTGCATATGGAATATAGTTGTCAAACCGAACTCACTGTGCACACAACGTGCAAAAGGAGTGCACAAAAAAATAGACTACACAGGCACACAATACACATTCGGTGTGTGGACATGCCAAACTAGTATGGAACTACACTTAGGAAATTAGCACACAGCATAAAAAAAAAGACTCTACATTAAATAAACAAACAACACACACAACCTGAACAAAAAAAAAAAATGGCACAAAGAAGGAACTCCAAGTACCGACATCCTATAACACAAAAGCACAGTAATAGCATACCATGTACGCATGAAATACTGGATAGAAGCTAAGGCACACAACATGCGTAGTAGTGCACACAAACTACACTAAACGGGAACACAATATACAGTAAACGTAATGATTCTGGCACACAACATAAAATATGATCGAAGATAAATTAACAAACAACGCACACGTGCTGAAGATAAAAAAATGCACAAAAGAAAAGACACCATGAGCACACAGCTTATAACAAACTAGCACACAAATAATATAACTTTTGCACACGAATGACTGTAGTGAATACATTTAATGGATGAAAATAAAGATATTAAATTATCAAAAGCTCAACATCTAAACAATGTTAAAGGATGTATTCCATAATTGGCCATCAAAACGTATACAAAAACAAGGCATGGCCAACATACTAAGTTCAAAACACCCAAAAAAAAAAAAAAAAAAAGACAAAACTAACAATGAGTTCAATCTAACAAATCAATCTTTGGGGGTATAGAAAGGGCTCGAAAGATATATCAACGCACATGCCACATTGCTCGAAAGATCATGAATATCCTTCCTTTGCTGTGCAGTAAGGTCTTCCAAGGCCTCTACCAATACTAAGGGAGGCACCCTAATTCTGGCACTTGGAATCCGCACTGTCAGTCTCTTGAGGCACCCTAAAATGTCAATTTTAACCCGACTAAAAATGGAGAATTTTTTTTTTCGGTGAAATTTTGACGGAAAAGTGGCCGGAAGGACCATTTTTGCAAAAAAAATCAATAGTCGTGGACTAAAATTGCAAGGTTCAAAAGTCATGGATCAATTCTGCCAGTGCCACTATAGTCGTGGGACCAAAAGTGCAAAAAACTCCAATAATAAATACAAATGTTAAATTACTGTACTACCCCCTAAAATAAAATAAAATAAAATAATAGAACGGGTGAGCTTAAAGCACCTAATTTAAAAATATAATCTCCCTTAATCTACACCATCCATTATTACAATCCAATGCATCATATTTGTCTTTCATAGTCCTCTATAATATACTTGTCTTCATTTGAATACATGTCTATATATATATGTGTGTGTGTGTGTGTGTGTGTGGCCACACAACACACACATATGTATTACTTTGTATATAATGTATATAATTTTAGAACCATTCTTGTCATTAATTTGTATGTCATGCTTATGAAATGCATAATTAGATAACATGTTTAATTGTAAAATATTGAACACTACTTTAAGTTGGAGATGAATATATATGCGTTCTGTATTTAAATATTTTTTTAATTTTTAATTTTTAATTTTTTTTATAACTTATAAACAGGGTGGATTCCCGTCCCCAAATAATCTCCGTAATTGGGGATGGGGATGGGGGAATTTTTTCCTTCTCCGGCGGGAAATGCGGAAGAAAGTCCAGGGCGGGGATGAGGTATGTCCCACTCCCCCACCCTGCCCCGTTGACATCTCTATGAGAGAGGTAAATGATGTCATTTATTTAAAATAATAAAGATAAAGATAAAAAAAAGTTAAGAAACTACTAACTTATTTTTGAAAAGCTACTCAAGATAGCGTTTTAAAATAAACTTTTATTTTAAGCTATTAACTTATTTTAGAAACATTATCAAACAGAGCTTATAGCTTATTAATTGCTTAAAATAAGCTATAAGCTAAGCTCTGCCAAACACACCCTACGAGCTAAATAGTCCTTTTTTCCCTTTGATTTTCAGTGATGCTTCCAGGTCGGTGCTGAGGAATGACGACTAATGTCGTAACATGTGTATATATACAATTATCATTCAATTTGAAACTATTAAAAGTTTTCTTATCATGGGGACAACTTTACCTCAAATCGATCACCTCTGATCTTAGTCACCTTCCTTGCTCACCTTTGTACTTACGGGGTTGTGCATTATTATAAAAGTGATGTAGAAAAGTGATGTATTAAAGTGAGGTACATATATAGAGTTTATAGATAAGTCTATCTTTAGTATTTTTTATTAAATTTTAGGAAAATGGCACCTTCCGCCTTGAATTATATGTTTATAGTACATTTTTTTGAATTATTCATTTAAGCATATTAGTCCCCTCAATTATTCTAAAAGTGATGGTTTTTCCTTCCTGATATATTATATTGACATTTCTACCTTTAAAGTAAACATTTTATTTATTTTTCTTCTCCAACAAATTATTGCTTATACGTAGGGATGACCACAGTTCGATTCGAACTTAATCAGGCACTATAACAATCGAATTGAAAGTTTCCGGTTATGATTCAGATTCGGAACCAATATTTGAATTTCAGTTTATTAAAATCATGAATCGAAAAAACTAGACCCTGAACCGTGAACCGGCAGTTCGAACTGGAACAACTACTAGCATTAATTTAAAATTAGAATTATAATATTTACAAATAGTGTATGTTCTTTTTTTACATCTTTTCTGATTCTCACATATAAGTATATATGACCGCGATTTTGTTTTAATTTTGAACTGCCGATTCACAGTTCCGGATCCAATTTGAACTGTTCAAACTTTATTTTAAAATTTCATTTTTTATTTTCAAAATATTCTAAATTCAACAATAAATGTATTTTATTTTTCTCAGTTCAGAACATGAACCAATCGTTCCGATTCGCAATTTTAATAAACTCTAAATATCTGGTTTCGATTCTAAATTGTAATCAGAATATTTCGGTTTAGTTGTTATAGTGTCTGTTCGGTTTGAACCAAATCGTGGTCATAATTTGTTGGAGAGGAAAAGTAAATGATTATTTATTTTAAGAGTAAATATGTCCATATTTGAGGGGGGAAAACTGCCACTCGAATAATTTAGGGGAAAAAAGTACTATAAGTATATAACTCCGGGGAAAAAGTGTTATTTTTCCTTAAATTTTTAAATAAAAATTTAATAAATATATATTACTCCATTTATCCATTTTACCTATCATGTTTATTATTTATTGGTCAAACAAACTCTTTCTTCTTTACTTATTTTATCTAATTATTTTTAAATTTACTTTTTTGTGTCTTATAGTACTTTTAAGGTAGTTTCTAAATATATAAATTTTATATAATAATACTAAACTTAATATTATGAATAATAAAATTAAAATAACTTCAGTTAAATCTCGTTAATCGAACAAGACACGTAATATGAAACTAAGAGAGTACTAAATAAAATATTTTTATGAAAGTAAATACATACTAAAAATTAAAAAACACACACACACACACACACACACACACACACACACACACATATATATATATATATATATATATATATATATATATATTAACTAGTTTTTTACGCGCCTTGCGCGATTGGGATAATGCTCAATTTTTTTTTTTAAATAAGTACTTTAAAGTATATCAAGACAAGATTATATTGGAATGGTTCATGCATAGATAATTGAATGTTAAATTTGCATATTTAAATAGGCAATTCTAAGATTATAAATGCAAGATAATATAGTCAAGATTGATTATAATTGTCCATAAAATAATTGTATAGGTACGGTTGAAACCAAATACGGGACATAAGGGAGAGCAAATAAAAATTAGTGCATAAAATATTACATACATACTAATACTGAAGAGCTAATTGCTGATTGCCAAACAAGGACATTGCGAGATAGTTTCCTACTTCAATTTGTTGTGTGATACTGTGATTTGAATACTCTTGTTGTCAATAAATCCCCCAAGTAGTTAATATGATTGACTTAATTATATTTTTTTTATTTTTTATTTTTTTAAAACAATTATTATTATTATTATTATTATTATTATTATTATTATTATTATTATTATTATTATTATTATTATTATTATTATTATTATTATTATTATTATTATAACCTTACCTCATTTTACATGTTAATCTAAACAACTAATTTTTTTAAATATATTTTTACCAACCATTGATATAATTCGCTAATATAATCCACTAGCGTTAACCGCTAACTGCTCATTGTCAAACAAGGACATTGCGAGGTAGTTTTCACTTCAATTTGTTGTGTGATTTGAATACTCTCTTTGTCAACATATCCATCAAAGTAGTTAATATGATTGACTTTATTAATTATATTTTTTTATTTTTTCACGGTATTAATAAAATACTTGGTAAATAAATATATAACATTATTTTGTATTATAACTTTGATCTTTAATTAAAAAATAGTGCACAAAAAGATAGTAGATATATATATATATATATATATATATATATATATATATATATATATATATATATATATATATAACAAATGATAATAGGAGCTTTCCTGAAGACTTTGAATAAAAATAAGACGAGTGAATTAAAACGCGTTGTGAGCCAAATAGTGATAGACTTTGAATAAATCTCATCGGTGCACATTATTTTTGTTATCATTTTCAGTGATGCTTCCAGGAAAATAATGCAACCTAATCGGTGTTGACGACTAATGTCGTAGCATGTGTATATATACAATTATCGTTCAAGCTAAAACCAACTAATAAACATATATTTTCCCTTTTGATATGAAACTATTAAAAGATTTCTAATCATGGGGACATCTTTACCTCAAATCAATCACTTCCTGGTCACCTTCCTCATCTTTGTAGTTACTGGGTTGTGCATTTGTAGTGGAAGCAACAGTACTGGGATTTGCAAGGAAGAGGAGAAACAGGCGCTATTGTGCTTCAAGGAGGAGTCAAAAATTCTAAGGAATTGGGTTGATAGAGCTGATTGTTGCACTGAATGGGAAGGAGTTGTGTGTGATAATGTAACCGGTCATGTCACTGAACTCCATCTATTAACTAACGATAATCTTCTAAGAGGTAAACTTAGTTCTTGTTTGCTTGAAGTGAAACAATTACGTTACCTCGATCTTAGTGGTCTCAATTTCAGTGAGTCTCACATCCCGAATTTCATAGGATCTTTCGTAAATTTGCAATATATTGATCTATCTTCCACAAGATTTGAAGGAATCATCCCCCATCAACTTGGAAACCTTTCACATTTGCATACTTTACGTTTGGGAGCGGATAATGCTCTCAAAGCTGACAACCTTGATTGGTTATCCAATCTCTCAAATTTAAAAGTATTGGACTTATCTTATGTTAATCTTAGTATGGTACATAATTGGGCAGAGGTGATTAATATGCTTCCTTCCTTGCGTGAGCTTTATTTAAATGATTGTGATATTTCAAAATCATCACATCCACTTGGCCATAACAAATCGTCACTTCAAGTCCTTGAACTTGCATATAATAAATTCAACAGTGTCATTTTTAGATGGATATTCAACCTTGATAGCCTTAGAACTCTTGACATCTCTGCAAATCAATTCCATGGCCATCTTCCCAATAGTCTTTTGAATTTGACATCCCTTAGAACTCTTCAGATCTTTGAAAATCAATTCCATGGCCATCTTCCCAATAGTCTTTGGAACTTGACTTCTTTTTCAGACCTTGATCTCTCTGAAAATATGTTCACGGGGGAGATACCAAAGCCGATTGGAAAACTCAACAAGCTACAAAGCGTTTATCTTTATAACAACAAGTTATATGGACCACTTCCAGAGAATTTAGGATATTCATTTCCAATGTTAGAAAATCTTAACATTATGGGTAACATGTTAGAAGGCATAGTGACGGAAAATCATTTTGTTAATCTCGCTATGTTGAGGTATTTACAAGCATCTGGAAATAGATTAACGTTGAATGTTAGTCTGAATTGGATACCTCCGTTCCAACTTTTTGTGCTTTATCTAAGTGGTTGGAAGTTGGGTCCTCAATTTCCTACTTGGTTACAATATCAACATACAATTGTCGAGTTGGACATATCTAATGCTGGAATACAGAGTGAGGTTCCAAGTTGGTTTTGGAGATCTTTTGAATTTGAGTTCCTTAATCTTTCACACAACCAGTTGCGAGGCGAAATTCAAAGTATCTCAGTAGTAAAAAAATTGTTTTTTTTTGCACTTGTATACTTGGGCTCTAACCAATTTAGTGGTCCTGTACCTCGTATCTCTAGCAATACAACGGAGTTAGACTTATCAAATAATTCATTTTTAGAAGATGTCTCTAACTTCTTATGTCATGCTCAAAATGTGCCATATGAGCTTAAAATACTTCATTTGGGAGGAAACCGATTATTTGGAGAAATTCCTAATTGTTGGATGCACTGGCCAAAGTTAGAAGTCATAAATATGGGAAATAACCAACTGATTGGAAGCATCCCAAATTCCATTGGGCTTTTGGATAAGTTGAAATCTTTGGATATGCACAACAACATGCTTTTTGGCCCTATCCCTCCATCATTGCAAAATTGCACCCTTTTGTTGAAAATTGATTTGGCTGAAAATGGATTCACAGGAAAGATTCCAAGATGGGTGGGGACTAGACTTTTAGATTTGACAATTTTTAGACTCCGATCAAATAAATTTTATGGTGAATTGCCTCCAGAATTTTGACATCTTAAATCACTTCGCATTTTAGATCTTTCCAATAACAACCTCTCTGGTGTGATTCCTTGGTGTCTTAAAAATCTCACTGCAATGATCAATGAAGAGGCGATTCAAGATGGAGAATTTGAAATGGGTTATTCATCTTATGATGGGGCATATGGTGAAAGTGCTATAGTGACGACCAAATGGCTAGAGTATGAGTATTACACAATCATTCTATTGTTGTTTGTTGGCATGGATCTTTCAAGTAACAATTTTTCTGGGGACATTCCTATTGAATTGGCCAATCTTGTGAGATTAAGATCCTTAAACTTATCAAGAAACAACTTGACAGGAAATATCCCCATGGAAATGGGAAACATGAGATTCTTAGAATCTCTTGATCTTTCAAGAAATCAACTTTCAGGAAAAATTCCCCCTAGCTTCTCAAGTTTGAACACTCTAGAAGTTTTGGACGAGTCATATAACAATCTATCTGGGAAGATACCTTCAGGTACTCAACTTCAAGGTTTTAATGCTTCATGCTACATTGGTAACAACCTGTGTGGCCCTCCGCTCTTACAAAGCTGTAGTGTTGATGATGGCAAAATTCCAAAAAATGAAAATAAAGGAGATGATAGTTCTGAAGTAGTGGATTGGTTTTATGTTAGCATGGCTATAGGATTTGCAGTGAGCTTTTGGGCGTTCTGTGGTTCTTTGCTTCTTGTGAGACCTTGGAGGATTGTTTATTTTCAATTTTTAGATGACAAGTTGAAGTCTTTTTTAGTATGGGCACATGCTCTGAGGGTATAATGTTTCTGGTGTTCTCTACTGTTAGGAAACTATGCATATTAAGATTTATGATTTAGTGTATCTTCTCGCTAGTCCCTTGTAATTTATCATGTAACACTCATTGTCATAATTATGTAACATAGTGTAACTGTAAACCTATCGTTTATCTATGTTGTGCAAATCTTTTGTAATACTACAATGAGTTTACATATTTTTCAGCCAATTACGCATTCATTTTAATTACTACTACAATAAGGCTTTTACCAAGCATTAGGCCGCCTGACAATTATCGACACGAAACCAAACACAAAATTAACGCGTTAGTGACTGATTGATCCGTAAAGAATCCATTATGTTTCGTGTCTTAACAATCTATTCAACATATTAAGAACCCGTTTAACCCGTTAATGTTATTGTGTTAACCTATTTACACAAACTTATTTATAACTCGCTAAAAAACATTGTTATTTGGATATTTTATCATTTTATGAATTGAATATTCTTTGAGTTTGTTTGAGGGATTGAATGGTAGATTTTGTTTCTTTTTTATATAACTTAACTTCAAATTTTAGTTTTTAAAATTAATATATTAATATGGTTAATGAGGGATAACATTTACACCACTAATAATTCATGACACTGATAAAATAATTAGCATATTTGTGAGAGACATAAATTACAATTTTTCAAAATCATAAAACATCACAATCACAATTATAAAATCATTTCAATAACTCGTAAATAAACATTACAAATCATTGAAGCTTACACTCTTCTATTCTCTTCCAGCTGCTTCCTCACCACTTCTCGTGGTCATCCAATTCTTCATTTATATATGTTCCTTTCTTGTGGTCTGGAAACCAATTAATACGAAGCATTCCAAATTCCATTGGGTTTTTGAATCATTTGCATTGGAATCTAATAACTTGGGGTATATTACTAACTGAAAATTAGAGAATAGAAAACATAAAACATATTTAATAACACAGTTTTTCATTTTGAAAACATGAACCAATTTTTCAGTTTTTTAGAAAACTGGAAAACTATTAAAAATGTTTTCTAAATGAAAAAACAGAATCATCTATCATCAATAATTTATTTGGTTATATGTCACTATAACCACATTCTCACATTATCTACTTACATATTTATTCACCATTATTCTTCTACTTACATATTTATTCATTATTATGATTACTTCGTTATCATCTTCTGATCTTTTACTTATGGTCATCTTCTATCTTTTCTACTTGCATTACTTATTTAAACAAAACGTATTTGCTTATGCTTAAAATTAGATATCATTTATATTATCAAAATTAAAAAATAACTCTATATCAAGTTTTATATTTTGATTGAACTCAATTGATTATTGATTCAGATATTTTTAGTTATGTTATATCGTAATACAAGTTTAGTTCAAATATTGGATATTGAAATTTCACATATATTACTATATTAGAATTCAAAGTAAAAATTATATATTTATATACATGTCATTCAAATGAATATATTCAACAATATTTTAAATATTAGCTCAAAAAATATTACGGAGTAATATTATCTGAACTAGGTTTTAGGTGAACTTAATAGGTTATTGGTTCGGATATATTTTTAGTTAAGTTATCTAAACTAGGTTTTAGGTGAACTTACATATATTAGACTTAAAATTTAAAATTATATTTATTCTATTTAAACTAAATATATTTTAAATATAATGTCTAAAAATTACCTGAAATTAAACTTGTGTTAATTTTATAGTGTTAATCTAAAAAATAAATTTGAAAAAAATAAGTGTTAGAATAAAAAAAAAAAAAAAAAAGAGAATGAAAACTGAAAAATTAGAAAACAAAAAACAGTTTCCGTTAATAAACGAGTCCTATGTGTTTATTGTTCCGATTCCAATTCAATTAGGTTTGCATAGTACTCAATTCAATTTGAATTGGATAGTTTAAACCAAATCGTGATCATGCCTACCCACATCTTGCAACTATAGTTATATCATGGACAATGTGCATATACCAACATGAACCTAAGCCACCCCAATTTCTCTCCTTAATTTATTTTTCAACTCGAATTTACTCTTTTTTTTATACAAATATAATTACTGTAAAAAATATGCTAGTAAAAAGTTTTAATTAAAATATTTTAAATGATAGATATAGTAGTTTTTTATTTAATTTTTTAAATGAATCAATTTGTTCATAAAATTATTAAGTTAGGTTTATAAAATTATTAAACTAAAATAGATTCAGTAATTACTGAGGCTCAAACACACAACCTTTCAAATGGAAGTCCAACCCGGGTACCATTAGACCACATAGTCTTGGTATTTTAAATTCATATAGTTTTAATACAGTTTCAAAAAGTCGCTATCATAAAGTTCATAAGGTTACCATTGCACATTCATAAAAAGTCACTACTATAACGGCATGTTTGGTTCACTAAAAGAATGTTGAGTGAATAGAAATCTCATTCTAGTCAAACATATTGTGCTCAATTGACACCTTTGTAGCTCTTTTTGAGGGAAGGTCACAAGATCGAATCTCCGGTGGTAAAATATTGACTCTTTGGGCTACAATAGATAGAGAAAGTATATTGAACAAATACTATCTTGTAATAGAATTGATAATATTCAAAAAAAAAAAAAGTCTCATTCTATTAAGAACGGAATATGCAAGCAATATAATAAGAATTTCAGTTCATTTTCTTGGTTCACAAAAAATATTTCAATACAACTATAGTTTAACATTCAATACTAATATTATACATTTATTGTTGTGACTCACGCATAGAAAAGACTAGTATCAATATATGTGTTTTTTAAAAAATGTCAACTAAATATTTTTAACAATATATATTTTTGGAAAAAAAAAAGATCAAATAGACCCTTTAACTTTTGATGAAAAAGTAATTAGGCCCTCAAACATTAAAAATGTTCAATTACACACTTGGACTCTTTAAAATTGTGCAATTAAACCTAATTTACCGGTAACCGGTAAAAAAAATGTAATTTTATTTTAGATTTGTTTTTGGCCGGCCGACCGGCAACATCGCAGCCTCCTTCCAGATTGGAAGGAGGTTGGACGTTACCGCCTCCAGTCTCCTTCCGATCTGGAAGGAGGCAGATGCTACCTCCTTCCAGAACGGAAGGAGGCGGAAGTTGCCTCGTTCCAGACTGGAAAGAGGTGACGTTTGCCTCCTTCTAGAACGAAAGGAGGCAGAACGTCGCCTTCCTCAAAAGTTGCTACTGCGATTGGAAGGCTATGGTGGCTGGCAGAAGGGACGACAATTTTCGGTCTACGACGGCAGCTAACGATGGTGGCGATGATGGTTGGTATGGTGGTAGTAATGTAGTTTATCGGTTAAAACTGGATGGTTACATATTAAAAGGTTATACTGCACTAATTTGAAAAGTTAAAGGGTTCAATTGAAGCTTTTTATATATTGAGTGGCTAATTGCATTATTGAATATACTTTAAGAGCTTATTTGACCTTTATCTCTATATTTATTTAGAGTTAGTTCTATTTTTTGTCATAGATTTATAGGTGGCAAATCATTTATTATCTTTTTTTTTTGTTTGTTTGTTTTATTTTTCATAACATTCTCTTTTGATCCTAGTATTATTGTTGTAGGACCATTTTTCGTCCTCTATCAATAAAATTTTTCAAATGTCGTTCAATATAATGACATTTTGGTTTTTAATTAGGGATTTTTTTTTAAAAAAAACAATAGAAATAAAAATATAGCGGGTTAACCCACTTTGTATTTTTAAAAATCTAAATGTCTTTATATTTAAAGGCATTTTAATGATTTTTGTTAACGAAGGACCAAAAATAGTTATACTAAAATAATGCTAGGACCAAAAGATAATGTTTTGAAAAAAGTCTAAAAGTGAACTACAACTTATAAACCTAGAACTAAAAAAAATTCTTTGTTGGGCCGGGATGTGGGGGGCCCTTGGGGTTGGGGATTCAACCTTTTGGGAGAAGAACTAAAAAAAATTGAATTAACTCACAATCTACTATATATATATATATATATATATATATATATATATATATATATATATATATATATATATATATACACTAATAAGAGCCCAAGAGAGTTAGGCCTATAATGGGTAGAAAAAATGGCGGTCAAAATTTTTAATCAAATGAATGGCTCAGATCGATCAGATTTTAATTTTTCCTTAAGATTTCCTAATTTATCCTTAATGAATATGATTATCCGTTAATTTTTCAGTTAAATATTATGTTTTTTGTTAATTTCTGTTAGTTCACTGTTAACTTACTAATTGATTTCAATAAGAAATGTCTTAGGTTCGAACTCCATCCCAATCAAAGTTTGCATAATTAGTACTCCATTTTACTCTTATTAAATTAAATAATAATTTAGTAGCTACAAAAAAAAACAAAAAATACATATGCATTTCTTTAATTTAGAATTATGTGTCTACAATGTCTTTATTCAAAAAAAAAAATTTCATTATCAATAAATTTAAAAAGAGAAATAATTTCATTAGTTATATTGTATTTAATTTATTTTTCTCCAATATAAAAATTCTTTACATTCAAATTCATCAATTGATTATATTTGTTACATTATCCCTACAATGTCTTTATTAAAAAAAATTATTCATTATCAATAAATTAATTAAGAGAAATAATTTTATTAGTTATATTGTCTTTACATTCAAATTCATCAATTGATTATATTCACTACATTGTCTATTATCTTTTTTGTGCACTATTTTTTTAATTAAATATCAAAATTATAATACAAAATAATGCTATATATTTATTTACCAAGTATTTTATTAATACCATGAAAAAATTAAAAAAAAATATATATATAATTAATAAAGCCAATCATATTAACTACTTGAGAGATTTGTTTACAAAGAGGGTATTCCAATCACACAACAAATTGAAGTGAGAACTATCTTGCAATGTCCTTGTTTGGCAATCAGCAGATAGCTCTTCAATATTAGTATATATTTAATATTTTATGCCCT